GAAGAAATAAGAAATCATTAGGCTTAGTCTATAGAAAACAGTTGTACAGTCTAGGTTTAGTAAGCCTCAGATTGGATGGAGGTCGGGCATTTTGTACCAAGGCCAAAACCACAGAAAACTGTCTGGAATTTTGGTATTTATGCATGCAATTTAAGACCATGCCTAAAGAAACAATGAAGTTAGGATTTAACATTTCTCTTTCAGACTGATCCATTTCCCTTCAAATACATGCACTAATATAGTGTTTACTGCTGTTTTTTATAAAAGTCTGATGAATACTTTTAGGGTAGTTTTATATCAAAGCTTACTCCTAATTTCATCTTCTGAATCAGTATTGATTCCTGCATGGATTCTTCATCTGCCAGTTCTAATGTTTGTAGATATTTGCATTGTCAAGAAGCATGCAGCTACATGTACTGAAAGCTACAGGAAAGTTAACAACTTAAATTCACAGTTACTTCATTGTGGAAAAGCTGTTTTTTCTGCTGTCTGTAGCGAGTTTGATCCTTTCCTCTCATCTTTCATTTTGTCCAAGTCAAATAACGTTTGGTGAGTTCTGTGTTGCTGCTCATGACTGTCCCAGTCGTTCCAGTCATTCCTGTGCAAAGCAGCGATCCCTGTTCATCAGCCTGTTGTGCTTTCCCTAGGCTTTTCCTAGTTGCATGCATGTTAATTGTTTTAGTCACCACTTTTGGTTTGGCCTTTCCTCAGCTTCTCAGCTTTCCTGGTATGTGTTTTGGTTTGGACTTGGCACAAAGTGCTTTCAGGACAAGGAATGACAAAACAAGCTGAGATCCTTCAGTATGGAAGCAAAGCAGCTGGGGAGGAGATTTGTTGGAGATCTAGAAAATCGTGGACAAGGTGAATAGTGGTTGATTGTTCTGTATCTCTTGATAGAACTCAGAGGCTTGTGGGTCTGATAAGGAGGAGGGAGGTGCAGAAAATCAAGGGAGGGGATTTGTTCGTCTGTGGGTTTCATGTTCGGGAATTCTTGCCGTGTAGGTAATGTCAAAAGTTTATGGACAGTAAAGGGGGACACACAGGCTTGTGGGGAGGGAAAACCGGTTGATGGTTACTACTGAGAAAGACCTGACGTTCCAAACTTTTGGAATATGAAAGGAAGTTCTTGATAAGTTTCACTGTATGCTTTGCCCTGTCCTTTTTTTCTTCTCTGCACATCTTTTTTTGTTGTTGTTGTTCCTTTTAGGGACATGATACTGCACTGGCAAGCTGGATTTGGCTCATCAGCATGCTGTTATTCTCTTAGTAGAACTTTGCAATTAAATAACTAAGGCTTTTAAGTATGAGCAAGCATGGTTCTTCTTCTGAGTCCCTCTTTAGCATTTTATCTGAGTTCTTTTTATGATTCAAGTCCAACAAATTTGATCTGAGTTACTGTTATGGAAATCTTCAGGTCCAAAGCTGAAGTTTTGTGAATGTGTAAGAAATTTCTTCTATGGTCAGTGTGAAGGATTGACACTTTTAGGTGTATGTTGCTGCCATTGTTTTTGTGGCAATATATTGCCTGGTTACTCTAGGCACAGACTTGGGACTTCTTCAGCATAGAGTGATCATACAGTGTATGCTATATAGCTGGCATGTACTGAAATGGTAGCATATGCTAAAGAGAGAGCATAAAAATGCAGTACAGTGCTCCACAGGAATTCATTCCACTTATCCCAAGCATTTCCCATCTGTCAGGGCTTTGAAGAATGATGAAATAGATACCATTTAGAAGCAGATCATCGTAAAATGTGAAGGACAAAAGTGGATGCAAAAAACCCCTCATAAGTACCTGTTTAAACACACACTGTGATACTGGAAAGACCCCAGTGCATTCACATTGTCCCCTGTTGGTAGGTTAATTTATTTGTGTGTTAGATTTTTTTCCACATACACCCGTTGTAAGGTGAAAATCCATCTTGAGAATTTTTTCTTGCCTTGTCATTTCAAGCCATGGATGTTTCTCAACTTTTGTCATGTACTGTGCCACGAATGTAAAAAAACGCAAAAAAAAAAAGCAACAATCCACAACCAAACAAAAAAATCCCCTAAAAAAACAAGCAAAGCAAACAAAAACATTCAAACAAAAAAACAATGCAGAGCAAACTGCAGTTTCCTTTCCTTGTTTTCTGCTGTTGAGCACTGTAATTTGCATCCTAAGCATAATTACAGTTGTTCTGGATTTAGTGAATTCTGGCTTTAAACTTGAGATAGGTTGAAAGTGCAAAGGTGGCACGGATGTTCCATGTTTCTTCCCAGCTTTATCAGTAAGGGATCCTTCTGTAACTGTTCAGGCTTTAAAAATGGATTTGTCAATTATTCTAATAGATCTTGTATGACTAATGAAACTTCCACAAGTTTTCTAAATACCTGCCACTTTGTCCCTTCTCTCTCCATTCAGTATATTTTTAGAATGTGTGACTCCCTGACACAGAAATACCATTTCCTTGAGGATTGCCTCTCACCAATAATAGCAGGAAAGAGCGCAGGGAGAGCTTATGAATCTAAATAAAGTATTTTTTTAGTGAACAGGTATGGGATTGTTGATATGTTCACTTAATGAAAATGTCAAATCTTTTCTTAAGAAAAGCAAGAGACAACATTCCTTATGATGTGATTTTCCAGAGACCATAGCTGAAAAATCTGTACCAGCTAATTTCTGAGCTGTGGGTTAATCAGGCTTTTTTGATGTGTCCCTACAGCACTTCATAATCATGGAGAGACTAGTTTCCTTATTCAGAGCTCATTTCAAGGACATTGCTGAACAAATAATTGGCTTATTTGCTTTGCAAAGAGCATGAAGTGTAATGCCTGCTCTTTTAACATTTTAGAAGTTTGTCTCTTGGTCAGTCTACCCTATTTAGCTGTGAATTATTTATGATAGTGTTCTATGACTGTGGTCCATGCAGCTTGAATGACCTCTTAAAAAACCCAAATGTTGACACCTGCAAAGCAATAAAATGTCTGTAGGGATCAATGTCATGGTAATATAATGACTTTAAGTGTACATGTTACCAAACAGAAGCAGAATTGATTGGCTTGGAAGGAGGGGGAAGGAAGGTGGAATGAGGGACACCTGCACTGAAAGCCCAAGGACCAGAAGAGCTGACATTACCGTGATTATTTTTTTGGTGTTGCAGACAATTCAAATGGTATTGTCCCTTACATCTTGATAACATAATCTCCACTAAAAACTATTTTGAAGATAAATAACTAATCTACTCCTTGGAGTCCATCTATTGTGCAATTTACATAGTGACTAGCACTAGAAATAAAGCTAATGACTGGTACAAGAACTGGCATTCTTCAAGATGACGTGTTGTGTATGTGATGAAGAAATAAAAGGAATAATAGTTCCAAAAACTCTTAAGCTTAGGGCAGCGTATGAGGATAGCTGGAACTTGTGGGTGAACCAAATTAATCACGTGGGCAGTTTCCTAATGCCCAGTTCTTTGAACACCTGCTTCAGTGTGCAGTGAAGTACAGCTCAAGATAACGCAGTGTGAACAACCTTGGTTGAGAAGATAAGACACTCCTTTTGCATATATTCATTTAATATAATAAATTACTTTAGGAAGCTGAAAAAAAGAAACTTGAACACATCTGCAGAAATGCCACTGAGGTTTTTTCCTTTAAAAAAATAAAAATGCAGAAGTATGCTGGTTCTGAATCTGGTTTTCTAAAGTAGGAAAAAAACAAGGAAATAAAATATATTTGCAGATTACTTTATTCCACCATACACTTTTTTTCCTTTTATGAACAGGTAAGGAAAAAGGCATTGGTGAATTTCAAGATGAATATTTGTTATGAGGTTTTCAGAGAATAATGAACAGGCAATGGACAACTGCCAAGGGAAACTGTTAATCAGAAAGTGTATATTAAGTGCTAAGGCATGACTTTCTTTTCCTTGGTTGGCATTTAAGCCTGATAAAATCTGTCCTCCCGTGTTGCATGAGGGTGAGCTGACCAGCTTCCTTAGAGCTAGACTATGGTGTAATTTAATTGTGTGGGTTTTTTCATGTTTTTTAAAAATGTTTATTTTTTGTAAAGAACATATTTAATGAGTTGGTGAATCTGGTAATGAAAGAAGAATAACATAGTAATTTTAAGTGAAATTTTACTCTGATACTGAATTAAGTTGCCTTTTTTTTCACTGGACTTTACTGAAATTTGGCATCTGTCTTCTAGTACTACACAGTGAAGTAAGCTGTAAGAGATACTAAATTGTCCCTATGTCCTTTTACCCTGAGGTATAAGTTCCATAGTGTTCCTGTCTCTGCTTTATTCTGTTTTCCTAAGAAAAAGAGGCATGTGTGACCGAACTATAATGTTTTTTTCTGTCCACTTTAATTGTGTTTAAGGTCTTTACTTCCCTGACAAATATGATTTGAGCTCAGGCATCGGGTTTCAAAGTTAAACAAATCCTTATAAAATTCTATTTAAAGGCAACACAATCTCCCACCCCCAAAACCAACATTCCCACAAAAACCCTTGGCAGGGAAGAGGAGTATTACCAATATCTGTCAGCCAGGGAGGGGAATGGAATACTTTCTCCTTTGGAACACTGAAGTCTCTGAAATGTAAATCTGTAGGGCTCTGCATTTCATTGGCTTAATTGTTCATGGAAAGCTTGGGCTTGCTTTGTGTTTTCCAAATAAAATATCTTTGAACAGGAAAGAATTTTCTGTGTGATATTGCTATATATATATATATTTGTATTCAGCTCTGAGTTTTGCAAACTTTAGATTAGCAGCTAAAATATTAAAATTAATGTTTCCTTTTCTGCACACCACTTTAAAAGGTATTAAGAAATCGAAAGCATTTCTCTCTACTACGGAATACAATTACTATGGAGGAGTCTGTCTTTCTATTGGTATTTTCATTTACTCAATACCATTAACCTGTTTAAGTTGAGGGGTAAAATAATGTTGTTCACATACCTTGCTGTTTTAACAGAAATTCTAGCACAAACAGTGTTTGCCATTTTTGTCTTCAGAATGATTGAGGAGAGTGGGAAGAGGAGGAGGACAATGGCAGAGAAGAGACAGCTGTTCATGGAAATGAGTAAGTAAAAAATGCGAAGACATAATGTCACACTTATTCTTTACTGAGAGCATAATTTTGATAGTTTTACCAGATCATTTACATCTTGTTTCCACAAATCCATTGTCTCATTTAGTGAAAAGCATCCTGGGTGCTGGTCAGGAGGAAAATGCAAGAGATGGGACACAAATGCCTAAAAGGTCATTCAATTCTAGGTTTTGTGAAGATCCTTTTTTGAGGAACGTTAATATTTTTCATGTATGGCAATATCTAAAGTCAGTGGAAAGCTATTAAAATAAATGACAGGAGACAGATCACCTTTTGCCTTAAAAATAAATAGCATTGCACCACAATACTAGAGTGATCTAGAAAAGAAACAGTTTGTGGGCTTGTTTTTTGTACAGGACCATTCTCTGAAAGAGAGGCTGTGATTGTTACTGGAAATCAAACACTTGTCCAGGGATAACATAAAGGAATGAGATGTAGCCTTTTAAAAAGATATGTGCAGTTAGAAGTAAAAGATTGTATGTTTGCACGATATCATGTTACTTTACTTCCCTATGGGAACACAGGTCTGAGTGAAACTCGTAGGTTAGGCAGGTGTGTCCTATAATTCCTATAATATAGGCTGGTGGATGTCTGTCTTACCACAAAAGTATATTCATGCTGTTTTGTTGAAGGAATTCCAGAGTAACATTCTTACTGTGCTATAAGAGGCTTACAATTTCAGGAGCAGTTTCATTCCTGGCTAACTTACATCTGCTTCCTCTCATCCGAGGCCTGTTTTGGATGCTATTTCTCCACACCCTTCTGGCTTCCTTTGTGTTTGAGTTTATAGTCATGTCCTTTTTTGGCTTGTTAAATGTATGACACAAACTAAGGCCTGTAGTCTCCCTGCTGTACACCTCCTCTGCTGTTCTTCTATGCCTTGGTTCAGGTTTACTTGAGCAAAGGTGACTGAATTGTGTGTGATACTCTGGTTGACATCTTATTACAGCCTTTTAAAATTACAAGAATACTTCTCCACTAGAAATTCTTTGACTGGTGCATCAGAATATTACATTTGTGTCATCACTTCAAAGTGTTGTAGCTGTCTGGTGGTCACTTATTACAGAAATTGCCTTGCTAGTTTTTAGCTTTGGCTAAATTATTAAAAGTATTTTAAATTCTTCTGATTATCTTTATACATGGTGTGTCTTTTTGTGATTGTGGTTCTTGCTGTTTCTGATCAATGAAAGTGCTGGTGTGCAGACATTTTTAACTGCTTTTCTCTGTAAGGCTCTTCAGAATATCACTATGGGAAATCTGAAGTCTTCAATCTTCACCTGTCCTGTGGTGGATTATTTCACTATAAAAGTGAGAGCATAAATGCAAGCTTCATGCACAGAGTAGTTGTGCTTTCAGTCACCATTTGTTGTTGGTCAACATACAAATTTGCTGAAGTGGTTTGATGGCTGCTCACGTGAAACAAGAGTAGACCTTGGCATTCATCCATGCTGGACATGCTTCCCACGGATGTGTGTGTTGGTTTTGTAGTACTTATGGAGCTGTCAATAGGCAAGAAGTCTGTACAAGCTATTCTAATTTGTCTGGAGTATATCTCATGGAAGCGTTTGAAGAAGATGGAGCCAGACTCTTTCAGCCCAGTGGGAGGACAGAAGGCATTGGGCACTAAATGAAGCACAGCAAATTCCATCAGAATGTGAGAAAAAACATTTTCATGGTGAGGGTGGTTGAGCACTTGGGAGAGTTTTGCTGAGTGGAGTTGTAGAGTCTCCCTCCTTGCAGATATTCAGAACTCCACTGAATACAGTCTTGGGCAAATGGTTGTAACTGACCCTGCTTGAGCAGGAAGATTGGACTTAGATGATCTGCAGCCTTCACTTCCAGCCTCAGCTATTCCGTGATTTCATAGAATCATAGAATGGTTTGGATTGGAAGGGACCTTAAAGATAATCTAGGTCCAACTCCCCTGCATTGGCAGAGACAGCCCCCACTAGACCACCTTGCTCCAAGCCCCATCCAACCTGGCCTTCAACACTTCCAGGGATGTTGCAGCCACAGTTGCTCTGGGCAACCTGGGCCAGCGTCTCACAATCCTCACAGTGAAGAATTTTCTCCTAATGTCTAATCTCAATCTCTCATCTTCCACTTTTATTCCATTATCCCATGTCCTCTCACTTCCTGCCTTGTCAAAAGTCCCTCCCCAGCTTTGCTGGAGCCCCTGCAGGTACTGGAAGGTTCTCTAAGGTCTTCCCAGAGCCTTCTCTTCTCCAGGCTGAACAACCCCAACTCTCTCAGCCTGTCTCTAGAGCACATCATCTCCATGGCCTCCTCTGGACTCGTTCCAACAGCTCCATGTCCTTCTTGTGTTGGGGGCTCCAGAACTGGACACAGGACATTTGGAGCTATATAGATTGTCTTGTAAACATATTCCATAATATCTTCAGATAGTTTAGAAGAATGACCTTGTTTAAGCTTTTGTGGTAGTGCAACACAGGAAGAAAAGAACAAAAAATGGATGACTTTCTGCTTTTGTTTTTTCCATGTAGCTCTTAAAGGACATGATATATATTTTTTTTTATATACACCTATATATTTTATATACATCTATATAAATATATAGACAAAGCATTTTGGAAAGACTCACATCTGTGGGGGTGCTTTTTGTGGTTTGGAAGGTAGAAGTGTGCACCCTAACTGAGAGTTTGGAATGAATATTGCACAGTAAGTACAAAATGAGCTATTTTTGCAGCCTTGGATCGGAAAACTCCAGCATATATTATCTGGCCAAGTACTTTCCTGAAATATATCAGAGGCTAGTTTTCTAAAGATGATCCTGTGAGATAAGCCACTTCAGTTTGTTGCACCACACCCTTAAAAGCAGAATGCTCCTCAAATGTTGGCCAGTCTAGTGCCACTCTTACATGAGCTATTGTGGGGACCCTAGGCTTGGGAAATCACCCATCTCCTCACTCATCTGATGAGAATCTCATGTTCCATGTTGGTGATGAAGATAAATAATTCTTTTATGTCACTTTCAAGACACAGTACATAGGTCTCTGAGAACGCAGCTGCTTTGGCATTATATTTGCAAAATTGTGATGAAATATCTCAAAGACAAGAATAAATTCTTTCCTAAGTTTTCAACTGTGAGTCAGTGGGTCCATACACAAAGGTAATTCAAATGAGGTATTTGCAAGTTCATTTCTGAATTCAGAATGTGGGAGGAAGGAACTTGTCACCTTTGAGCAAGGACCCCCGTATAGCTCTCAGATGCCTTCTTCTGGAGGGTTTGTTTTTTTGTCTTCAGGTATCTTTGAAAAGTCTGGATTCTGTAGGTCAGTGTTACCCTCATTTCTCAGTTCTCTACTCATCTTGGCTGTGGCTTTTGAGAGCACTATGAAAGACTGCAGCAGGTCCTGCTTTTATGTGCTCCCGTGAGAACACAAGAGGCACAGGAGCCATGTGCATCCAACCCACTGCCCACGTGTGCCTGGGTTGTGTCAGACTGCACCTTAGATTGAGATTGATTATAGGATGTAGCCGCCAGTGCTGTCGAAATGGTAGTGGTTTAAAAGGCATTTTGGTTTATGATTAATGGGATGTTCAAGACTTGATTTGCTGGCTGCTTTTAAATGAAAATGATTATAAATGGACTTTGCTGGTATCATTTATCATTTATCAGTATCATTTATCATCCCTGTATCATTTATCAGTCTAGGAGGTACACAGGTCTGTTTGGCAGAGGGTTAACAGAACTTTCTGAAATTGTTCAAGTTTATAATATTCAGAGGAACTGCTGGAACTGGCAGATGTGGTACAGACTGGTGGTAGAGACTAGCATTCAGATCTTTCATGATGTGGCATTGTTTGAAGATACAATGCACATCTTGAAGTGGGCAAGTGTTGGTGAAGATAAGTTGATTTTTTTACTTTTGTGCTTCTGGTTCTTACCTGTTTTGGATCTATTTGGGAGACGAAGCGCATGCTCCTAATGGGCCTGCAGTGCAGGAGTACCAGCCCCCCTTTTGTTTGTCTCTTCTCATTCGTGTACATATCTTCCAACAAGCATGCAATCCTCTTCCTTACCCACACACAACTTAATTCTTTCTTCACTTTAAGGTACTCATACCAGTCTCAAACTCTGGTCAGTTTATAACACACTGTTGAAAACCACTGTACCATGAGATACCCGAGGAAAATCTTTGTCATGTTTCTGTGACAAAGATGACATATGTGAAGACACACTCATACAATATTTTAAGTAATTATCTCAGATAAGCTAAATGTTACAGAGGAAAGAAAAACACAAACTTTTTTTTATTCATAGGAGCACAGAATTTTGATGTCATCAGACTTTCAACGTATCGAACAGCCTGTAAACTGCGGTTTGTACAAAAAAGATGTAATCGTAAGTTATAATTACTCTTTATCTTCAAAAATTTCTCATGCATGATTATTTCAAATATTCTGCTTGTGGGAATTTTTAATCATAGCAAGAGTAAGCAAACATTTTATCCAACATGGTTGTGGTTACGTAAACTAAACAGATTTAAAATACATAATTAAAAAGAGGCAGCAGCCTTTCTGCAATACTCTTTAAATCTTCAGGCATTAAGGGCATGTAGCAACAGGACAAGGGGTGATGTTTTTAAACTGGAAGAGGGTAGATTTAGGCTAGACATTAGAAACAAATTATTTATTGTGAGGGTGGTGAGACACTGGAACTGGTTGTTCAGGGAGGTGGTTGATGCCCCATCCCTGGCAGTGTTGAAGACCAGGTTGGATGGGGCTTTGAGTGACCTGGTCAAGTGGACTAGATGATCTCTAAGGTCCCTTCCAATCCAACTACTCTATGATTCTGTGATTTTGTTCTTTCACGTTTCAAAAATTTAAAATGTGTGGGCCATCCTGACATATTTCAGTTGCCCTTAGTGTTGGATACCTGACAGCCAGGCACAGGTGTGAGTTGGGTGGTGCATAGTACAGTCACTAGCATAAAAATTAATCTGGTTCTGGTGGCATATATAAAATGTAGCAATCATAAAGAATTCTGTATGTTCGTGTGATACTAGTCAGTGTAAGTTTTCTCATTCTCTTCCATGGTCCGTTGACCTTGGGTAACTCACTGAAGCTGCAATTAATCCAAAGGTGAACAGGTGATATTACTTGGCTTTCTCCTACCAGTGTTGCATTGAACACACCAGAAAAGGTTGCACAGGAATAGGTCCCTCTACCCAGTACAGTGGGATTAGTGTGTGTCTGGGTGTGGGAGAGGACAGGGGACAACTGAGGAGTCCTGTAGAGGACACGTGCAGCTGCAAGTTGTAGCTCCTCTGGCATGCGTGTGTCACTTGGGCCAATTGCAGCAATACCTGCATTGCCTTTAGTTTAATGGATGGCTCACAACTTTTTCATTCCTGTGGCAAAATGTTCATTCTTGTCTGTAATTCATGCTTTTGAATTAAAAATTTCTCTTAATAAGTAGGCATTTAGAAGTGCTAATTATAGTACAATGCACACCTTGCATCTAGTTCACTGGTGCTGTGCATATACCTTGGGTATGCCTTGACCATACAGGTATGTATAGGTGAGGCAGTGTGTTTATGATCTTTGCCTGGACCACACAGTAACTCAGGGGCATGGGTTTGGTGCAAGTAGGTAGCTTGGTTCTTATCGTTGTGTGGTTTTTATGCAAAAAGTAGAATGACAGATTTTATATAAGAAATGTCTAAGACCACACTCTTACTTCAGACCATTTTCATAAGTTAAGGAACAGAATAAAAAAGTTGTGAAGTTAGCAAATAAGTCTGTCCTTTGTAACTGTTGGATCGTGCTCAGTTTTGGCTGGCGGGTTACTGTTGATCCTTAGATGTCTTCTGCCACTAGCATGTATAGCTTTCAAGCTTTGAAACTTTTAAAAATAATATTTAATGTGGTTCTGCAGATCACTCTCTGTGGCTTTGGAGTACTTTTTCTCTGCACTGTTAATACTTCTTAGATATGTGCTAAGATATGGCAGGGTAATTGAGGGAAACGCTTTGGAATTCTAGACCTGCATTTACAACATATTATGCTCCAGAATTGGCAACTGGATCAACTGGAAACAGTAACAGTTTAACTGGAACATCAAGTTCCTCCTTCAGGACTGCACTACTCGTTAGCATGAGGCTGTTCAAAATTATTGTAACCAATTTGTATTGGATTTAGCATATGGCTGACGTCTTTCTTGAATGAAAATATCTACCTCTGCTAAAACACACACTGCATGATGATGGAAAATTGTTTTTCTTCTTTATGTAGCTTTTCTGTCAGAGCACCCAGATGTTGAAGGGTGGAGTAAAAAGCACACAAGGTGTCTGGGCACTGCTTTGTTACTTTTAACTAGCTGACATGAACTATGAGTATAAATATAAAGAGTCTCTCATATGGAATACAAATAAGTAACTTCTTTCCAAAATAACAGCTAACATAGCATTCAGAAATAGTACCATGAAAGTAAGCTTGCATGCATTGTAGAATAGAAGTTAATTTTTTTTCCTTTATTTTTAGTTCATCTTGTTGATATCTGGAATATGATTGAAGCCTTCCGAGATAATGGCCTTAACACTTTGGATCATAACACAGAGATCAACGTGTCTCGACTAGAAACAATCATTTCATCCATCTACTACCAGCTAAACAAACGCCTTCCTTCTACTCACCAAATCAGTGTAGAGCAATCCATCAGCCTCCTCCTCAACTTCATGATAGCAGCATATGACAGGCTAGTAACTCCTCTAGTTGTATTCTTAAACTAATTTTCTCTTTTAGTTAGATGAATGCAGCCAACAACTGCATGAGTCTCTGGCAAACTGTCCGCATGCTATTTCTCAAGTTCATGAAATTGTGTGTTGCACACACATGCACCATGCACATATATATTTAATCTCACAGTAGTGCCTGCAGACATTTACATTGCCACAGCAGCAACACTTTGTCTTAAAAGTTGTTTTCTTAAGAAAGATGAGTTAGTGCCTTCTGGAACTTGCAGACTGCTGTAAGCCATGTATCTGAATGGAAGATGAAGTGAAACTGTGTTCCAGAGACTGTGATAGACCGTAATGTTAACCTTGTAGTGGTACAGCACTGTTTCAAAAAGTGAAAGTGTTTTATTGAATCCTGATAAACATGACCATTTTATAATGCTACCTTGTTTTGACAGTCAGCTTGGATCCCATTCTAACATGCTGTGACCCCATAAAGGCTACTTCTCATTTCTTGGTGGAGAGAAGCTTCGTTTCTTGTTCAGGGTACTGTCCTTGTGTCCAGTTTTATGAGTTTCTTTCACAGCCTTTCACAGTTTGGGCTGCTGGTCTTCTTGAGTAGATGTGTCTCTGTGGGCTCTCTGAGTAGCAACTGCAAATCTTTCACTGTTGAGCATTTCTTTTTGTCTTCTCTTTCTCACAGTTAGCTATTATCTCAGTCTTATTTTTCTTCTGCTTTTGCCCTCTCCCCTAGCAGCAGAGAACTCCTTGCGGCCAGGAGGCTGTCACAAGACTGAGCAGTCTTACCCAAGACAATCTGCAACTCTGAATATGCCAAATAGTTGTTCTGTTTGTAATGATCAGACTTTGATCCTTTCCTAATGTGACTTATTATTGTCACCAAACAGAAGCTAGCCTTCCCCAAAAAAAGTCCAAGACTTCAGAAAGACCCCTGTCTTACTTCGGGCAGATAAAAACAACACAAAGCTCAGAGCAGGAAGATTTTAATGGCAAGAAAATCAGACGTCTTTTTCTGCTTAGGTATGATTTGGTATTAGTTGTAAGGTGAGTTGTAAGAATTAGCTGATGGGCTTAGTTATTCTGAGACAGATCATCCTAGAAAATACAGAATTTAAAAATAGAAATTATCATGTTTTGAAGAGGCTGACTCAAAAGATTAATGCTTTAGTTAGAGATGTTTTTTTTACCCACAGTGCCCCCAGTTCTGCAAGTTCTACCTGTTCTGGAATTGCAGCAGTATGCTTGACCCAAGCCCAGTACAGCAGCTTCTTATTAGCTTCCTCTGTCTGGCACGTGGGATTGAGAAAGAAGCTGGGATGCTGTGCTGCTTTGTGTAGTGGGAGTACCAAAAATAAGAGGAGAGGCATGGCTGAGGCTTCCTCTCCAGGAGTTCATCAACATGGCAATTTATTTAATAAAAAACAAAACAAAAAAACAACAAATGCAGATCTGTGCTGGAATTGCATCATTGGGGTAGCTGTGTGGTACTTTGAATACATGGTGTCCAGTAGTTTCGTACAATGTGGTGCTGGTGGTAGCCTCACAAAGTTGTCATTATGCCACCAAACAGGTGCAGGAATCAACATTTGACTAGATTTTGGCTGGAAATACTCAATTTAGAGTTTGTTATATAAGCATGAAAAGCGCTCACAATGAGCACTTTGCAGGGACCCAAAGAACAGCAGTGATTGTAGTGCAGAAACGGTGGCTCATACTACATCGGTGGTGAGCTGGGAGGAGGAACAGCTGTGGCAAGATGGTCTTCACTACCTTCTCCCCCAGACCTTTGCAGAGGTATTTGACAGTTTATTTCTGTCTGGTTTTCCCAGTAACCTCTCAAAGTCCCTGACCCATTCCTGGCAACCCAGAATAACAGCTCATTCTCTGACCCTGTTTCACTGCTTCAGAACAGTCCATTTTTTAATTTCATCATTTCTAGAAACCACATTTGATTGAATAGCATTGGTACAAACATAGATTTTGGTGAGTTGCTCAATAACTACACCTCTGTCAGATTGCAGGGGAGGAGTCTGGGACTTTTTCTTGATCAATAAACATAACGTTAACAGAAGCAGGCCTGATATCTGAAGGCACCATGCGATACCTTTGAAAGGATGAGTTTGTGTCCTGTGAGAAGATATTGATGGCTTTAGTCAATTGGTTTTTCTGGAAATTAATTCAGTGCTGACCTTTCTTTTGTGAGAAAATGCATGCCTATTAAAAAGAAAGGAGAAGGGCAGATGAGACTATAACTTAAGTAGATTTGAATTAGTAAGGTTTGCTTAGATAAAAGTGGAGGTCAAGGTTTGAAGAGGATGAACTTTTCAGACAGCCTATTTCAGATGTAGTCAAATCTTACATGGTTTGTTTTGCGTTTTTTTTAATACACAGAAGGACTGCTAACTTAGTCTTTTGAGAAAGTTGTTTAAGAGAAATTACAGAATAACTGAGATCTTCACCTTGTTAACTTTAAAGCCTTTACATGGTTTGAAATAGGTATCTAACTTGTTTAGTTTTCTCCCTTCGTTTAGTTTTTCTAACAGTTTAAAGTGTCCTGGGTGTCAGGGAGGAGATTGCCATCAAATGGCCATTCCTCTTCCCAGACCTTCCTACACTTGTAGCTGTAGAAGGGATTGCCTCTCTAGGAGCATGAAATGTTACCAGAATATAGTATTTATGTATTAATGAGTATGAATGGGGAAAAAGTTGTTGCTTTTGTCATTCACATTAGACCTAATCACCTCTTCAATATCATAAGCAAATACTTGCTTTGAGTAATTCTACTCTTAACACTTTCCAAGTGGTAGTAATCCAAGTGCAAATATTAAATTCACATCTTGTTTCCACTGAGAAGTGTTCTAGAGATTTTCTAGATACCTTCCAGTACTCATAATGTATTTTCCCCATCATATTTTCCATCATAGTGCAAATTATCTAATACATTTAATTACAGTTACTTGAACTTATTTTAATTATCTTTCTCCTTTTATATGACTTTAACTTCCTTGGTGGTTTATCAGTCTCTACCACTGTTGCTGTTTATAGTTAAGGAGAATGATTCAGTACATTTCTGTTAGGCAATAAGTTGCTCAGAATTCCAACAGCTTTTCCCCTTGTTTACACACATTTCTTTTGCCCTACACACCACTAAACAAACATTCAGCCAACTGCATGGTAACAGTGGATTTATGCTGACATTGCTGCACTGTGGCTCTCTTAATGGCATCTACTGAATGGCATCAGTTCTCTGATTCCTGTCTTTATTGTTATGAAAGAGAAGAAAAATTCAGGAGACAGGGATGGGGCACGTGTGCCTTCTAGGCCAGCACTAAGCTGGGAGAAACTGTTCCTGATAATCAGCTGTGCTGTGCTTTAACTCTTCTGTGTTTCTGGTGACTTTCTTCCCTCATGATTTCATCCATATCTTCCTTTCTGGTAACCGAAATAGTACATGTTGCTATTTCTACATTTCATACCTTGCTGAATGGGCTTTTTCATACTTTCCTTAGAGACAAATTAATTTTCTCTTGCTGATGCTAGAAAATAATTCCCCAAATGTGCCATCTGTTTTAACTGCACAGCAGCTGTATTAATTTACATTGGAATAAAACACTGTTCACATTATTCCTGTTCTGTGTGGTATATTCAGGATGATATGCACCTTCTTCATCAGCTATCAATTACTGTACTGGTTTTAGCATTAAATGTGTGTTTGAACATATGATCAAGGAGAAAAATTTAAAGGAACTAACAAAAGATGTAGCAGATGTAAAAATTAGATGGTTTAGAGTGAATAAATGTACTTTAATGGAAAAAAATACTTTTTCATAGGACAATAATGGGATGAACAAGACAAATGGTAGTCTTTTTATTGGTGCATTTTTCATAATTCTTCAAGAACATTTAAGACACAAGACACTTGTTAACTCTTCCAATGCATTTAAAATGCTAGTTATCACTGGTTTATAGTTACGTTAAATAGGTTTTGCAGATCTTAGTGGCAAATTGCATTTATCTGTTTTCTTCCTAGGTCACAAGAACTTTTGTTACTTACCATTCTGCGTAGTGATTACTTACATGTAATTTTTTTTCACAGTGAAGGCCATGGGAAGCTGACGGTGTTTTCAGTGAAAGCGATGTTAGCAACGATGTGTGGTGGTAAAATACTGGACAAACTAAGATGTAAGTATTTTCAAGGGAGTCAAAGCATTTTCTGAAATATTTGGTTTCCATTATTTGCCCTTGTTTTACTGTGTTAGATTCTGAAAGCTGATTTTTTTCTTATTCAGCAGTCATTATACTGAGATGAAGCTTGCTCTAATAATGTGTTTGTTACCCATGCCATCTGCTGGCCATAACACATACTGAGTTTGCTACTGCATAGGCTTTACAAGTACATTTGTTTATTTTGAAATGCTTCAGCATTTCTTTAAATATAAAACTTTGTGTCAAATTTGTCTCCATTTCCCTTGTTTTGAGGATGTTGGGAGGATTCTGTGTATCATCTGCTTCATCTGAGGTGCTCTCTGCATCTTCTCATTCTGCAGTTCCAGCTTCTCAGTTCTTGATTTTTAAATCCTTTTTAAACCTCTTATCATCAATCTTGCTTCCATTTTTATTTGTTTCCATAAGCATTCTGCTGTATCAGTAGAGAATCAGTGATATACGTAAACATTGTTTTTGTCCTTTAGTAGTAATTCTTGTCCTGTCTTTCCCAGAGGCAAGGTGTATTGTTACAGGTGGTTTGTTTGGGTTTTTTCCATTTCCACATTGAATTTTGGGAATTTAATCTTGCTGTAAGTGCTAGCTTTTGTTGTTCAGATCTTGTCGTTTCCACCTTACCCTAAGTTTTCTTTATGGAAGTTAGCTATAATAATCAATTGTAAATAATTCCTTTGACTTTTTTATGTCATTAAGTGTCTTTAATATATTTACTTCAGCACTAACAACATTAAATACTAGTGTGCTGACTAAAGTTATATGACAAGGTCTGAAAAGTAGTGAGAAATCATTGCATGCACATATTAGTATTAGGGCTGCACATGTTTCAGTGCCAGGAAATGCTGGGTTGTTTTTTTTTTTTAATCTGGTAGCAACTAAAACTCTCCAATTAAAAACAAGCTGCAGGTGACTAAGGATTAGAGTTAAATAAAGGGGACATGCATGTATGGCAGAGATTAAGATTTCTTAATCATTATTAACAAATATATTGCTTCTAGAAAACATGCAAGATCAAATACTGGGGGAAAAAGCTAGAGACTGTATCTCCTTAGAAAAAGATGACATTTTGGATTTAATTAGGATAAGATTTGAGGAGGTTGCAGTGGGTGAGCAGTTCAGCACAGACCTGGGACAGAAAAAGAGCATTAGTCTAGAATTAGCAAGACAACACTGAAACACAGTAAGCAATTGGCAGTGTGACCGTTTAGTGGAAAAGGCTGCAATTAAACCACTGCAATTAAGTGTTATAGGAACCAGTAAACATTTGATGTTTTTAGACAAAACCCTAGGTATCATTCTGGAAGTTACATTAAGCCTCAAGTTATTGATTCAGTAGGTGGACAGTTAAGATGCTTTCACCTTAGGGACTCTTCATTTAACAGTCCTGTTTAACAGGTGTGTCTAGTCTTGAAACTTAAAATTTGTCCACTTACTGTGCTTTTATCACTCTCTGTGTCTTTATATAATGTTTGTTTTTCCTCATAGCATTTGTCGCTTCCTTTCTTCTTTTTTCCTTCTTTGTTGGCTCCTGTTTCCTTTGCCCCTCTAACTTCTTTATAAAAATTCTTAACGGATGGTCATACACATTGGAGGAAGGACTTTTGACTATCACTGAATAGTGCTGCTGCTGCTAGCTTTTTATATTCTAGTTGTTGTGCCTTTTACTTCTTCTTCCTTGTACTTTATCAGCTGAGCTTTAGTTTGCATTGTGCTTCAGGGATCTTTCCTCCAGTATTTACTTTTTCTCTTGGTTCACTTCTCTTTGGATGTAAAGCATCATTTTCAGAGAGCATGTGACTTGGTATTTGACATGTTTTGGACAGTAACACTTCTGCTTGTTTGTTTTTTGATTGTTAAAACTCAGCTCTTCTTTTTTGCCTTTTCAGTATGTCACACTGACTTCCCACCATATGATGTGGGCTAGTTCTTAGGACAGTACTAACTGTTGATCACGTCTATTTAAAACCCGGTTTTGATGAGATTTTTTTTAATTGTTCTTTTAGGTATAATATCTTAGGAGTCAACTGAGAAAGAAAAATGTCTTTATCTGTAACTGTAACAGTAATGCTGATTTGCCACTGCTTTGTAGGGTCATGGGACTTCCTTCATGTGCATCATCTTCTGTGGACACTCCTCTCTCCCTTCTGGATACTCCTCTGTCCCTTCATGCAGTCGTTATTGTCTCTACGTAGCTGGAAGGAAATGTGCAGGGTTAGAGATAGGGTCTCAATTGCATGATAGACAAAGTTGTCTAGGAAAAGGGGGTTTTGGCTAACTTGGGATTTTAGGAGTACAGCAAATGTATGCAGTAGGGAAAAACTTGCTCTAAGCCAGGATAGAATTAAGCTGTTGGCTTTTTGGACAAGACCATAGGACAGGTTTCTGTGGGACATGGAGAAAATCTGAGATGCAGGGTAGCTGGATCTTGTAAACCTTCTGAGGGCAGGGGAGAGGAGGTGTGTCATGTTAGCAGAAGTTTCTGAGTATCACCAGAACTGAAGTAATAAAATAGCTGAACTATTAACTGCTGGTTATCTGAAAACTTTCTAAGGGACAAAAGAAGGGGAAGAAGAAAAAGGCATGTGAAGTTTGGAAGGGGATGTGAGGAGCTGTAGGCCTGTATACCTGTATGCTCTAGGCAAGCTGTTTGTAATAAAGAATAGAATTAGCTGATGCATAGTTAAGTGAGACTTTATTGTTGGGGAGAATGGCTTTTTTGAAGGGATACTTTATAAAACCATAGGGATTCTTTAAAGGTGGCAAAAGAAAAAAAAAAGATGGGCAAAGGAGTTCTAGCTGATACCAACTGGATTTCTGAAAGGCGTTCAGGGACGTCCCTTATCAAACACTCAAAGACTTTTATAAGTTTGATTAAAGGGGTAGGTCTTTGTGCAGGTAGAAGATTGGCTAAAGGAATCAAAAAAGAGTGATAAAGATCTTTTATGTTCTATTGAGATCAGTGGATAGTGCTGGACCTAAACTGGTTTTGACACTGTCATAAAAAATCTGGAAAAATACAGTGAAAAGTGACAATTTGATACATTGTGAATCAGTGTAGTAAAAGCTAAAATAGACTGAAGAGTTGCAGTATGATTTGGCAACACTGAGGAACTGTGAAATAAAATGGTGGGTGAAATTCAGTGTGAATATATGCAAAGTGGTGCATGCTGGAGGAGGGCAGTGTAATCCTAATGTGATGTGCAGAAAGGCGAGCTGAGAAGGTTATTGCTCAGATAAGAGATCTTGGAGCTATGCTTCTGTGAAGATGCTGACACTGTTTAGAGATGGCTAAAAAAATATAGGAAATGTTACAGAGGAGAAGGGAGTAAAAAACAAAGAGGAGAGGTAAAGGCACTTACAAATCTGTGGTGCTTTGTGCTTTGGATGATGCTGCTTTAGGTACCCCGAGCTGGTACTTGGCCCTTTCCAGTTCTGATACATCTTTTCTGAGAACAACAACAAAAATCATCAAAGGTAGAAGCTTTCAGTACAAAGAACAACTAGACAGAGCAGGATTCTTCAACCTGGAAAAAAAATGGTGGTGAACAGATAGTGTTCTGTAAAATCATGAGCAATGAGTTGGTGGTGAAAACAGTTGTTCTTTGCCCTTCCAGCAGCTGAAATTAGCAGTGACAGATTGAAACAGCCCAAACCAACACTTCATAAAACTTTACCAAAGCATGTTGTTGGTATTGAACACACCACTAAATTACTCCTTGAACCAATTTCACTAAAGGCAAATTAATCAAAGGTTGCTGAATGCAAAGATACTCTCAGTGGGTGGAGGAATATTCTGGGGAACGTGCTTGCCTGAGCCATCTGCTCTTTGGATAAATAGACTTCTGATCTGATCTGCCTCAGCTGTTCTCACAGTCTTTATTTCTTCTTCTGAGAGTTATGAATTTGCTGTCTTTTTAAAAAAAAAAATATTTCCTGTCTTTCCCACCTGTCTGATTACTGACCCATTTCATCCCTGAAGAACTTCTGTTTCCAGTTTACTTGTTCCTCTGATTCCACCCCCACTGCCTCTGCTCCCTTGCCTAAGCAGGCTGTCTGCTCCAGCCCAGCTGAAACTTAAGGCTTTCTGGAAATCCTGGAAGTTGTAAATTATTTTTTTTCCTCGTGTCATAATTTATGTGAACAATAGTAAATTGGTCTCTGCACTTGCATATGTACAGGCTTATTCTTTTAAATGCTGAAAATATGAACAAACTGAGTGTTTTTCAGTCCATGGAGTGTCTGGCAGCACATATGAAATGTGAGTTTTCCAGCGAGATCACTTTGCTGTCTCTAGAAAAAGGGACAGATTTCCTGGGATATGATACTCCTTGCAAAGGAGTTCCTTTACATGGTGTGCAAGGTAGGGATTGTAAACACAGCCTACTTCAATGGACTTCATTCTTTTTGTCATGGCTTTTTAAGCCCAAGTAATGCCATATAAAAGTTTTGTGGATTTGGATTACTTCATTTTGGCATTCAAGCATATTCAATGTGAAGTAATTACTACTTCCTTCCATGTCATTTCTGTGAGTAAATTACAAACAGAACTTCAAGTTAATCAGGACTCCATCCCGCTTATTTTAAGGGCTGTCCCAACTTCTCCAATGACTGGCTCTATGTGTGTGATCTTCTTGGCTCCCTCAAGCCCCACTCCTTTTTTCCGCTCACTATCTGGCTCTGATAAGCTTTTAGTTCTTATGGATGTTCAGCCTAAAAATTCATATAATGTGTGCTAAATACTAAGTTCCCCATAAGAAAGGCCCTGAAAGTTAATCTTCTGTACTTAAATTAGCCTGACTGTGGTCCAGGTATTTAGTTTTTTGGAGAAGTGGGCGTTGAAAGGGAACTGTTTTGGTCTTAATCAGTGGACCAAAGTAGTAGTAGTATTAGTAGTTATAATAATATTACTACTTGTAGTAATAATAATAATAATAATAAAAATACAAGTACTAGTAGTATAATAATAAAGTCTTGTAATAATACATGATTTGTTGTCGTATCACATCTATTCAAACTGAACAAGCTCAGTGCATGATTTATAAAGGCTTTCCTACATTTCGTCTGCTTATAACTAATGTCAGTCATTGCCACAACATCTGATCTGATAGAGGTAAGGCTGCTGCAGTATTGTGTCCCCAGGCCACCAGTGGTGGGGGCAGGCATGCATTCCCAGTAGGAACACATGCACACAGGCGTAGGGATCAGCACAGACAGAAAAGTGCCCACGTGAACATGAATAGCACCAATGACCTGGTCTGTTCCCTTGCATAAATATATATGCATGTGCCTGTGCTATATGGACTTTACTAGTGACTGGCCTTAGATGCTCCTCTGTCTAGTAGCTGGTCTTGGAGCCTCTTAGATCCTCTGGTGTTTCCAGTCTGTGTCACAGCCTTATGACTTCTCTGATACCTAGCTTTCAAACTCTAATAATTAGATTTTCCTCCAAAAGCGTCTTCATCATTCTCCTTGTAGGTGTTTGGGTGGTATTATTAAGTCATCTTGGTGTCTTATCTTCTCTGGGCTGAAGACTTCAGCCTTTCCTTACTGGAAAAGTGTTCCATTATGCATTTAACCATTCTTGTAGCTCTCTGCAAAGCTCCCTTCAGTTTGTCTTTCATATTCTGTGATTCTCAACAGTCATCTGGTTCTGGAGGGTCCCAAAATTGGACACAGTGCCTAGAGAGGTCTAACAAGTGCTGAGTGGAGGTGGATAATCGCTTCCCTGTACAGTTCCTGCAGGGCCATTCCTCCAGGTCCTGCTGGATGGCAGCCCTTCCCCTCAAGGATATCACCTGGTCCTTCCAATTTGTCATCATCTGCAAACTTGAAAAGAGTGTACTCTGGCACCTCTCCCAGATCATCAATAGCTGTGTTGAGTAGGACATGTCCCAGGACAGATTCCAGCAGAGGCCTTCAAGTAATTTGGCCCATTATCCACTACCCTCAAAGCCTGATCAGGCCAACCAGCTATTTGCTCATCTTGTTATTCAACCATGCAGACTGCAGGTTGGATACTGGACTGTTGCAGGGAAATAAAAACTAAAAAGTCTTGCTCAAGTTGAGGTGAACAATAGCTATAACTCAGTCATCTTTTCACAGAAAACAATTGAGTTGGTCAGGCATGATTTAGCCCCAGTAGATCCATCCTGATGGATCCCAGTCACTTTGTTTCCTGTGCTCAGGAATATGTGCCAAGATTAGCTCCCTGATTTTCCCAGGAACTGAAGTGAGGCTGACTGGCCCTCTGTCACACACACAACCCCCAAAAGCACAGTCAAATTAATTAATGTTAAATTTATTTTCTTGGCTTTTACTGATATTAAACCTGGTATTTAATGAACTTTTTATGAATTTGTGCAATAAAAATTGACAACTTAGTAGGAATGCTGAAACTCAGGATACACTCAAGGTTACAATGCTAGAAAATGAGGGTGCCAGGTTTCTGTTGCTTTGCTTTTAACTTCATGGGAGAAATGGTAGAGCCTTCAGCTGGTGCTGTACAAAGCATCAGGCAAATGCCTTGACTGGAAATCACAGAACAGTCAGTTTTGGCATTTCCAAGCAGCTGAGAAGAGGCTCTCGAGGGAACTGTTTGGCACGTTTAGTGTGATAACATGAGTTTTAATGTAAATTCTAAGACAAAAATTTAAAAAATGAAAAGATAAGTCACACAACAATCATTTTACATTGGGATCTTTGGAACTGAACAGTGTTTTCTGTGCTTCCAAATTTCTTATTCTCTCTAGTTTAAAAAAAATGTTTATAGCATAGTAGCATGAAACCGAAATTTTATATTGAAATACAGTACTTTGTCATCAGGAAACTGTTAGCACATGCTTCTTTTGACCCTGAGATGAGCTCTGGAGAAATTGCACTGTTAGCTGCTGTTTAGCTTGACATTTTCTCTTTGAGGGTAATTTACTGCCCTTCAAAAGGGCAGATGACTATGTAATTGTGTCCTAGTAATCTTTATCTTTTCCAGTTCCACTAGTTATTTCCCATGTGGAAGTTTCACACGTAAATGAGTTCAACTTTGCTTTGACTATAAAAATCACTTTTTAATGACTGCAAGATACAGGCTAGTGGGGCTTGGGGTTGTTGTTTTGTTTATTTTTTTTAATTTACCCTTGATACAGCCTGTTCTGTTTCAACTCATTTTCTATTTATTGCTATAGCTTTAATTAACTTTCTCCTTAAAATCGTTTAGGTCTTAAATACTGTTGAGTTCAGATTAATAGACTGTATTTACCCAGAAGATTTCTGTCCTAGTTTAAATACAAATACTGTCATGTTCCAGTTGTGTTCTACCAGTCCCATCTTGACAGATTTATTACTAGACCTGCAGTTTTGTGCATGTGTCAGTTCTGGAGTGATTCTAATCTGGAATGGATTAGGATTCTGGAAGTTTGGGTCTCTAATTTTAGTTGTTCCCATAGTTCATATTTGTGTGTATTTTGATCCTGACTTTTCTTCCACATTCAATTTTCAGGTTAAATTTAATTTTTCTGCTTGGCTTAATTTTCTAAAATACACTATTCCTCCCTGACTCTCATTTTTTAATTTTCTTTTTAAACAGTGCCCCCCATTATTCCTCATATACTTTACAAAATAATTCAAAATTCAGCAAGGTCTTCAGACCTTCACTTCAAGCTTGTCTGTTTAGCCAGTGATACAAATTCTGGGTAGCTTAATCACCCTTAACTTAGATATTTTTATAGACCTAGTTTTGATCCCTTAATTCAAGCTTATTTTCTGTAAACAAATAATTTTTGATGTATAATTACTGACGGTGTCTGAAATAACCTCAAAGATGATTCAGAGGCTGTTCAGTGAAGAATTCCAGTATCTGTCACATCTTGGAAAATTTTAGGTCTTACTTATATTAGTGCTCTTATTAGAGAAATCCTCCTTTATAGTGTAATTGGACTCAGCAAGTTTATGAGAGACTCAGTTTTGCTGCTTGAGAGACTCTTCTTTTCCAAAGAGATTTTTTCATCTCAGGGCAGTTCTGCTTTGTCTGCATGCAGCTCCCCTGATATTTGACGTGGCAATATTTTCTTATAATGCCAGCTAGGTGTCTTCTCCTACATTTTTACCTTTTTTGAGATGCAAGAGCTGGGAGCTCTGAGTTGAAGGCATGAAATGGTTAGAGCAGTTGAGCCCTGTGTGGTAAGGGGATGGAGGGACTCCAGAGCAGGAGACTCGGGAGACGTCCATCCACCCATGTGCCTGTAGCTCAGAGAATGGCGTGGGTCTGAAAATACTGAAATACTGCAACGCTGCCCTTCTCCCTGCCATCTCCTGGGGCCCTCCCTACTTTTCTTTTTCCAAATATACACAAAATAGCTGAACACCTTTCTCCATCTGCTCTTTGTTTTCAGGGATACATTTAGCCCCACAGGGCTCATCACAAACATTTTTCTTGCATAGGAACAAGGGTTTGTAGTCTAACTCTTCAGGGTGCACAGCATCTCTGAGATAAGATCAGATATAAGATTAAATCAAATTTCCTCTTCCCCATCCACTCAGCTGAGTGGTTCACAGGTTTAGCCTGGGAGATGAAGGTCATTGCACCCCAGTTTCTCACTGCTTCCCTTCTCTCCTAATGCTGTGTCACTTCAACATGCCCAGGCATGCACCAGATTTACTCACAGTATTGATTTCGTGATTCTTATGACTTCTTAATTCTAGGAGACTTCTCAAAGGATTTTATGTAGTGTTATTTTGAAGGTGTAAACTCGAAGTTGTTACCTTTATAATGCCTCCAGCTTCTGCTTTCTTGCTGTTACAGTTGATACACTGGCAGAATCTTTTCTCAAGACTGGGTGAGGTAGGATGGAGGAAGTGGGAAGATTTGTATCATAGCATGTTCGGATATGTTCACTGATATATTTATCTTGATAGCAAGTGATAAGAAATTATGTTAATAAAATGGTTTAAATGCTGATAGCAAGTGATAAGAAATTATGTTAATAATAAAATGGTTTAAATGTGTTGAAATACTTTTTCTTTTGTTGTAAGTATTTACTGTAGGTTTTTTTTTTTCAGATATTTTCTCTCAAATATCAGACTCAAATGGACTAATGATTTTTACAAAATTTGATCAGTTTTTGAAAGAAGTTCTAAAACTTCCAACAGCTGTGTTTGAGGGGCCTTCTTTTGGATACACGGAGCATTCTGTACGGACCTGTTTCCCACAACAAGTAAGAGTTAACAAACCAGGATTGTTGCACTGCTTGTTCATGTAGTGCTTTCTCCTAAAAGCAGTCTACTGGCTGCTTTGGTCGGGGTTGGTACGGTGGCTGGAGGGTGGTGGGTTGGTAATATACACTATAGAACCTAAGCAGTGTTAAGAAGCTCTGAACAATTTGAAAAAGTACATCTAGGTCTTAGGCAGTGAAAGGATTTTCCACAATTTTAAGTTGTTCCCCCTTCTTGAAGGGAAATTCCTGTTTCCCTTCATCAGGCGCACAGCATGGATGACCTATTTAATTTCTAAAACATGAGACACAGCATTTCCACTTGATTATTTTTTAAGCTTTCTCAGTGTGTTAAAAGTATCAGTTTCAACAAATCCCTTGCTAGTTGATTAGCTCTGTACAAAATAAATACATTGTGTACAATTTCTTTTTAATTCAAATTCACTGTTGTGGTTATTGGTATAACTGTTTTTTCCAAAATATTTCCATGACATGTAATGTTTGGAGTAGATGTTGTAGTAATGATCTTAAAAGACCTTTTTATCATACATTTTAGATGTAATTTAATGGTTCCAAGGATTTGTTTCTAATTTAAGATAATGTAAATAGTATAAATAATCCTTAAATCAACTGTACACATGAACCTAGATAATCTTAGGCCTAAAATTAGATGTTTAGACTCTGGTTGTGGTTATATTCTGGAAGAAATATTTCTGAAGATTTAGACTTTATGATAATTTTGCTAAATTTAAGGTAATTATCCATTAGTGTATTTGAAATATAACATGGCAGGAAACAGCCTTTAATTTAGGAACCAATGAGGGCTCCAGCTGATCTGTGAGTTCCTGAGGACAGAGTTTTGTTCTACTAATAATGTAATTAATAAATATTGGGGATTTTTCTGTTTCCATACTGGCTGAGGCATTTGTGGGCCATTCATAGTTCCCACAAATATGCTACTCTTTCTGTTGTGCCAGTGTCAGCCATTTGTGTAGGGTTTTCCAGCAAATCAAGTTTCATGTACGTAGCATTGCTGTTGAATGCAAAACCTCAGCTTCACTTTGGAGCTATAAAGTCAGGCATGGGATTCTAAGCTCTATGTGCCCTTTTCGTTGTCTGCAGTGAGAATGGGGATAGGTTTTTGTCTTGTTCAGAAGATGGGACTCTGGAAGTGCCCAGTTCCCTCTTACCCATGAACAGAGGCTAGTGTAGCTAGCAAGCAGGATCGTTCCTTGTACTCGGCACTGGTGAGGCTTCACCTCGAATCCTGGGGTCAGTTTTGGGCCCCTCACAACAAGAAGGACATTGAGGAGCAGGAGCGCGTCCATAGAAGGCAGCAGAGCTGGGAAGAGATCTGGAGCCCAAGTCTCACAAGGAGTGGCTGAGGGAAGTAAGAGTGTTCAGCCTGGAGAAAAGGAGGCTGAGGGGAGACCTTCTCACTCTCTACAGCTGCCTGAAAGCAGGTTGAAGGTGGGGGGTTTGATCTCTTCTCCCAAGGAGCAAGCAACAGGACACAGCCAGTTGTGCCAAGGGAGGTTTAGTTTGGATATTGGGAACAATTTCTTCCTGGCAAGGGTTTCAGGCCCTGGCCCAGGCTGCCCAGGGCAGTGGTGGAGTCCCCATCCCTGGAGGGATTTCAAAGCTGTGCAGATGTGGTGCTGAGGGACATGGTTTAGGGGTGGCCTTGGCAAAGGTGGATAATTGTTGGACTTGATGATCTTAAAGATCTTTTCTAACCTAAATGGTTTTTCTATTTTGTCATTTGCACATATTGCCTGCAGCATATTTTAGCTCTCTGGCTTTGGCTCCAGTCAACAAGAAGGCTAATTCTTCATTTTGATTCACTTTTAGAAATCCCTTTGCTCTAATTTTACTCAGCAAAACAGAATCCCTAGTGGTTTGTAGAGTGGTAATGTTTTATAATTAATCCAGATATACACTCTACCCCAAGATAATGCTTTCATTTATTTGAAAACATTGAAACAAAGTTCCTGGGAAGTAGATAATCTGTCTTAGATTTAATTTCATTTTTTATGCCTCCCAGATTTGAAAGTAAGCTTCCCAGAGGTACTTCTATGATACTCTCCCCTTACAGCCTATTCTTTTGCTGAAATTCTTTCCAGATGGCATTGGGAAAGCTGTGGAGCTTCAGAGTTGGACTTTACATGACAGACATGTAAGCTACATCTGTAGAAGATAACTAAACAGTGCCTTGAGTGCTTCTGAGGTCCTAAGGCCAATTGGAATAGTCTAGCCACACCCATGCTATTAAACTCTTATTCTCTCAAGCAGGGTGGTTACATGGAAACTGTTTATTAAAAAATTATTCCCCGTTGATATTAACACCTGATCTGGATGTTGGAATAATTTGGGAGAGTGAGTGGTTAAACCACCCAGACACACATTAAATAACAGACACACATTTAATAACATAAAAGCTCATAGGATTGAGTTTTAGTGCCAGGAACATTCCCTGGTGTTACTTAAACTACCACGAGACAAATCCTTTCTGGCCAGCTGTGGTTCCTGGCTGTCCATGGATGTCCTGTTTCTGGGAGGCACTTCTCTGAGGTGCAAAAGACTAATAATTTACTGCTGTCAGAGTGGTGAAAAGGCAGACAGATGAAGAAATGTTAGTGGTTTTCTACAGTCCACAACTCTGTTTCATTTCTTGGGTCACAGATGGAATAATTCAAATTTGTTGCCCACGCAGAATTAAATTTATTGGGATGCTTTTGGCAAAAGCTGTGCTCTTTGTGATGGCTTCCAGATGTATCAAGAGCTTCCAGTAATAATTTACTATTCTAGGTTGAGTGGGGGCTTCCCCAGATATAAGATACCACGTCATACTTTTATTAAGACTTTTGTTCACTTGGCTGCAGTCCCTCTATTTGTCACAGTGATGTTGTATTACCATGGCATTCCTTGCCTTAGAATCTTTCTGTATTTATGGCACAACCTGTTCTGTCATTGCAAAGGTGTGTCCATTTTGTATCTCCTTCTCAGAGCAATTTAAGTGCTGTGTTTCTACTGAGCTAAGAAGTTTACTTCAGACACTTGGGAGCCAGGAACTTGTCTTCTGTAGAGTCAAACTGCACACTATTCTTTTGAAACTCAGCAGCACAAACCATACCAGCAGAACTAGTATATCCTGACACAAGAGGGACATGGAGCTGTTGGAGCGAGTCCAGAGGAGGCCACCAAGATGATCGAAGGGCTGGAGCAGCTCTGCTCTGGAGAGAGGCTGAGAGAGTCGGGGCTGTTCAGCTTGGAGAAGAGGAGGCTCTGGGGAGACCTTAGAGCACCTTCCAGTACCTGAAGAGGCTACAAGAAAGCAGGGAAGGAACTTTTTACAAGGGCAGGGAGTGATGGAATGAGGGGAAATGCTTTCAAGCTGTAAGAGGGGAGATTGAGATGAGATGCTTGGAAGAAATTCTTTGCTGTGAGGTTGCTGAGATACTGGCCCAGGTTTCCCAGAGCAGCTGTGGCTGCCTCATCCCTGGGAGTGTTGAAGACGAGGTTGGATGGGGCTTGGAGCAAGCTGGTCAAGTGGGAGGTATCCTTGTCCATGGCAGGGCATAGGAATTAAATGGTCTTTGATGTCCCTCCCAGTCCAAACTAGTCTGGGATTTTATGGCTAGATAGGTGTTGATTTGTGCATGTATTACACAAAATATTTGCTAAAGCATTGGCTGACTTGGGCCTCATGGTTGGTATAGCTGGCTGATAGCTGAACTGACTGCACAAGTGTCAGTCTTGTTAAAGTAATAGGATATATTTATTAGGCACAGGATGGTTCTGTATATGAAGGATAGTGCAAATATACTCTGATAGAGCTGCAGTTTAAGCACAAGATGTAGGACAGTTAGAGATACAGCTGGGCTCTAGTACCCAGCTGCTTAGATCGGTGTAACTTGTTTTGATCACTGTAGAGTTAAAAGACACATCTTTCTGTTGGCTCAGGGAATGTGCTTTTTTTTGCCAGTATTTTGTGGGGAAATATATGCATTAACATCTTGTTGGAACAAGCATGTTGGCAGTGTAACAATAAACTTGGCTGAGTTTTTGCTATTGAAGCACGCCTGTGGTATTCTTCTAAATGTAAAAATAGCATTGGTACAACCTGACTGCACCCACCTGCATGGAGATCTGAGGCTACAGAGCTCTTAAGACAAGGAGGTATGCTAACAGCAATTGGTGAAAACATTTATTGCAATAGGACAGGGAGTAAGCAGGTAATTGCAGAAAGTAATCTGTGCAAAAATGTGTTTGTTCTCCTAGGGAGAATCTGACCCTCATAACTGGTTGTACCTTCACATCTACCAGTTTTCAGATAACGTTTTGGAGTTTTGAATCTGATGGCAGATTATTTGGTTGTTTTTGTGTCACAAATAGTGACTGCGCAATGTTTTTGTGGCTGCTCCATGGTTGGATTCTAAACCCAGTAGGAAATGTTAGACCAGCTACAAGAATGGGCTTTATCTAGGCTTCTTCTCTGACACATTATTTCCAGGAGGAGGAGGCTGCTGTTTGCTTTCCTGTCAACTCAGCCATTACTGAGATTACCTGTGCCCAGACAGACAAGATGTAGTATTGACAATGCCACGTCATTCTTTTTGATCAATTGATTGCAAAATACCCTACCTGAATCGGTGAAGAAAACCCCCAAAGCCTGTGTGTGCCCCTGCTGCCCTCTTGTGAACTACGTGGAAGTTGCATCACTCCATACACAGGCTTCAGTACCTTGTAAGGTTCTCACTGCTTAAAGGAATTATTTTTTGTCTTTGGGGAACATCCTTGTCCATAGCAGACAGAAGCTCTCCTGTTAGGTTGAGGTTCTTCTGCCACTGCGTGTATTGTATATCACTGTCTAATCACAGAGTCACAGAATCCCAGACTGTTTTTTTACTGGAAGGGACATTTAGTCATCTAGTCCAACCCCCCTGCCACCAGCAGGGACACCTTCCACTAGATCAGATTGCTCCACACCCCATCCGACCTGGTCTTGAGCACTTCCAGGGAGGGGGCAGCCACAATGTCTCTGGGCAACCTGTGGCCGTGATTTTGTGATGGACCATATCAAAGGCTTTACAGAAGTCCAGGTATATGCCATCCATAGCTCTTGTCCACTCATGCAGCCACATCCTAGAAGGCCACTAGGTTAGTCAGGTATGAATTGCACTTCATGAAGCCATGCTGGCTGTCTCCAGTCAGCTTCCTCTTTTCTTCTGACACGTTTTTCCAGAGGACTTGCTCCAGGATCTCAACAGGCATGGAGGTGGGGCTGACTGGTAGTTCCCAAGGTCCTCCTTTTTACATTTTAAAAGAATGGGTGTGATGTCAGATGGATCCTGAGTCTCATCTCCAGAAAACTTGTCTGTCTGTCAGCAGTATTTATTGTCTGTAATAACCTTTGAAACGAGATGAGAGCCAAGTCAAAGTCGCGAGCCCTAGAGGCACATTTCTACCATTGTGCAGTACATATGTAAGTTCTGTTAAGGGTTGACATACACAATTTGCACATCAGTTACGGGCGATGCTTCCATTTAATGTCCTCAGCGCAGCACTTGCTGGTCACGCGAGTGTGCCATGGTCAGTTAATTCCCAGTTAAAAACTGGGAGGCTTGGATTGGCATGTTTAGTGTTGACCTTGATGAGATGTGCATTTGTTGAAAGATTCTGAGTATCTTCACCCCAAGGAGAGGGAAAGACAGGCTGTTTTATTTATATCCCAAAGGATGGCTTGGCTTGGCTTTGCAATGGAATGAAGGCTGGGATGGCCAGGCAAGATCCAGGCATTCGTCCTTGTCCAGGTAGTGCCTCTGATGTCGTGTCGGGCAAAGGGAATTCTTGGCTGGCCTCCCTTGTAGTAGCAGTTAACTATTTTCTTTTACTAAGCAAGGAGGCTGGAACAAGGATGCCCTATAGATTTGGAAGAAGTAAGATTAATATTTCTTAGAATTTTCCTTACTGCTAGCTGGGATAGATCATTATAATTCCATACTATCTCTCCAGGGTGGTTAGCCACTAATGACAGAACTATCCATGCTTTGAAGGTAAACCTTCTCTTTAGTTAAACTAACAAAACAAAATCAAACAAACCCAAACAAATCACAGTCAGAAAAAAAAAGCCCAAACAAAAAACACTTCAGTTTTTTGGGGATGATAGTTGCAAGTGAAAGCTACAATTAATTTCACAGCTCCTAGAAAACTGGCTTTTCCTCTAGCTCTGCTCACCCTCCCTGTGTGGATGCTTTTTGGAGTAACATTGCCATATGCTAAGGTGAGAAAAAAAAGTGCCATCTGAGCAGCTGGTCTTCTGCCTGTGAGAAGTTCTTAAGCATCTAGCTTGTTGTATGCAAAAGCCAACGTATTCTTTCTTTGTATCCATAATAGACTTAGCTGTTTTTTCTTACCGGTTATCTCCATCTGTTTATATTTGCAGCAGAAGTTTTCTCTTGCTCACTTGAATTTGAAACCTTAGAAAATATTACTCTTAACATGCCTAACTTCCTTCTCCTAATGATTTCAAGTCCTTTTTTTCTTGACAATTTTTTAACAGCTTAGTTCCCCCCTTGTATTTTTTTCTTATTTTGCCATTTCAAAAAAATAATTCAGCATATGAATCATGTATGGAGACTAGTTGCAATTACCTGTAACCTTTTGGTGTGTGTCTACTTTTTTCAGTGTTATCTGCACGTTTAAAATACTGTTTTCTACATTATTAAATAACCTCTGCTCACATTTGTTGTATCCTTCTTCAAAATAAGAATCTTTAACTGCAACTTAGGAACCAAACCTGACTTAAGTTCTCTATTTCTTGGAGTTTTCTGTTAATCTGGTTTTTGTTTATTTTTGTATTATTATATTGTGCCTATACTAATACCTTATTTGTGATGTTACTGTTTCCCTAATACAAACTGGAACTCCCTGAGCAAAGAAGTTGTGATTTTTTTTTATCTCTTTATAGCCTATTAAATATTCCTGGTAGACAAAAATTAAGTCATAGATTAATTTTTTTTAAAGCTGAAGTAGGTTTTGGTATATAAAATGGAATTTTTTCGTATAATTAAGTTGTATCTCTTTTTTTCTTTGCAGAAAAAGATCATGCTAAACATGTTTTTAGACACATTGATGGCTGATCCACCTCCTCAGTGCCTTGTGTGGCTGCCTCTCATGCACAGACTTGCCCATGTTGAAAATGGTAAATGGAATATTTTCTTGTTTGAAACATCTGGTCAGAGCAGGGTTTATGTTCAACATATGTAAATATTCTGTCCTTTCTCACGTAACAAAGCACTTAAGGACTTAATCGTTCCCACTGTAACAGGCATAGTCCCAGAGCATTTATGGCCAGGCTTTTTTTGGAGGGAGAACACTTCTGGGCTGAAGACTGATTTTTTTATGAAACAATGCACAAGATGAGTTTTAGAGTTCGAACTTCTCTAGTGGTGGAAGATGAAAAAACAAGAAGCAGAACAATATTCTCTAAATGTTCATGTTTATTTTGAAAGTTTCAGAAAACATAACTTGAAACAAAACATAACTGTGCTTTAACATGCACTTTCAAGTGTTATCTCCAAGATCCTGGTACCCATTCAGACACATCTTGAGTAGAAGTCACTTCAGTGCTCACTAAAGGAGGTAAACACTGAGCTCCTCTCACTTCCAGACCATCTCTTAGTTAAAATGTCCTGGGTTTACTACTTATGGAAAGTATTTAAGGAGCAATAAGGGATGGAAAAACTAAATATTAACAGTGAGGCGTAATGCAACTCATCTGGCTGAGAGGGTATTATGGAGTTCAGGGAAGCAAAAAGGTTTCCTGCAGAAGGTTGTATAAATATATCAAAACTATTAGTTGTCTTTAGTGGGGAAAAAAAGGTGGTGTGTTTAATTATTGTATAGTTGCACACAGGGTATGTGTATCCTGTTTTGTTTGAGAATTCTAGAGGAAAAAAACCCACTTTTTTTTTCTTCACTCATACATTAAACTTCATATTTTGTTTCCTTCTCCACAGAGTAAAATCATGTTATCATCCTTCAAAACCCCTGCCCTGCTAGTTGTTACCCCCTCTTCTGCTTAATGCATTTAATGCTCATTTCAAGGTGTACAGACTTCTTCTTTTCAAGATGCAGCCAGATCAACTCTAGACTCCTGTTTCTGCCCGGCTGTTTGCGGGCACAGCTTGGCAGTCTGTCTCTAAGTTTTCACAATTTATATTCCATTCTCTGTTTCTTGACATTTATGCCTGTGACATGGTTAAGTACTGCTGTGATTTTCATATGCTGTTTCTTGGCATTTGTTTCATTGTCTTCTCTCAAGCCTCTCGCAAAGCATCTCTGGTTGTGAATTTAATCTGCCTGTGTTGTGCAGTGAACAAGACTGGAGTTGCAATACTCAACAGGCCTTTTCTTTATTGCAACAGAAGATAAGGTGAATTTCCCAATTGCTCCACATGTCTACAGACATTTCCTGACAACTGTGTGTCTCATTTTAAAAAAAAATTAAAAAAAAAAAAAATAATTTTCAGAGGAGCAATTTCATGGAGACAAATCTTATAAGGAAAACGTACGAAAAAGGTGGGGAGGTTGATTTAGTTAAAATTTAGGTAAACTACAGTGCTGCAGTGTCTTTCCTGTCCTTATCTAACAGGTTGCATTAACAGAAGGGCGGCAGTGACTTTTTGCTTTCTTCTTCCTCTGTCTTCTCTTACCCTTTTGTAATCTCATGCTTCAAGAAAAGCAATGAGAGTGGAATAAATAAGGTAAGGAAACAGGCAGTAAAAATGTTTCTGTGAATTGCAGGTCAGGATAGAATTGCACAGAGCTGCTTAAGCAAGGGTAAAATGTTTTCACAGGGCTGAAATGGTGGAAAGATCTGGAGATAGTCCATAATCTGATCTTTTTTGTGCTTGAAAGTACCAGAAAGAAATTATATAGATTAGTATAGATTAGTCCATCCATGCCTGTATTATCTGACAGCTTCTGTTGTCCTCCTTGTGGCTTGTGGCTGCTCTAGGATACACAGATCCAAACCTAACTGTGTTTGTTGGGAGCAGCTGTACATGTCCCTTTTTCTGATGCTTTCTTCCAGGCAGCCAGGGATTCTTCCCACTCATCTGTTCTGCCAACCAGTATCCAGGTTTAATCCTATGCTACACATAGGAGTCTTGCTACATGTAGATTCAACATTCAAATAATTTGATAGGATAGCTTTGAAAGTTTGTGACATTAAAATGATGCTTCTAATTCTTATCAGTCTCTTCTGCAGCTACCTCCCAAGCTGCTTGCTGAATTATGTTACCATCAATAATTCATGGCAGTGCTCTTGCCCTCTAAAGTTACTACTTTTTTTTTTTTCCCTCAGAAACTTTTATTCTGTTGCAAGTGGTATTTTTTCTTCAGAGTCAGGCAGCAGTTCCTCTCCTTAAATGTCAATGAGAAATCAGAGCAGCTGATGCACAGAGGCTGGGTTATGTCCTTACAGTAAAAGAAGTTAAGGGAGGCTCAAGCGTTGGGGGCCTGACTATGGGAAGGGAAAACAAGCAATTGTGAAGGACAGAGACAGTAGAAGGAATAAGCCTGGGATTACTGGCACATGTGGTAGGAAAAGAAGTGTCACAGACAGCTCTGATTACAGATGTACCTGCGAAGGAAAAAAGCAAGCCAGAGGCTTTTGTAGCTTGAAGTCTGGAACAGGACATATGCAAGAGTTCACTGTTGCTCTGGATTGAGTATATTCTATTAAATGGTCATTTTCAAAGTTTAGGCAGAAGGGGGAAGATATGAAGCATGTGCTAACCATGGCTACTGCTGTGGATTGTGACTAAATTAATGTGAAATTACTTAGTAAAGGTTATGTATGTTTAGTATCTGCATATATTTAAAAAAAAAACACCTCTGTTTTTGTTTAAATAAATGCTTGTAGAAGGTTACAGGAATTCCTGTCTCCTTTCAATTGAAAACTTTTCCAGAACATAGGCAAAAACATGAAAGAAACAGAGATCAATGCTGATATAAAGCCAGATCATCTTTTATTTGGGTAGGGTGGTATGTTGTACATATGAAGGGCTTACAAGCCAGCCCAAACCAATCCTCTGGTTTTGAGGAAAGAATTGGCCCCAAAGACTCACTAATCTTCATCTATTGCTTGATAATGGGCTCCTGCTCTGACTGCCCACTTCTGTGAGACATTGCCTCTAATTCTGAGAGTCATTCAGCATGGCATGTAGGACTCCTCTGCCCCAAGACTGGCACAGTGGGAACATCAGCACTGGATAGGGTAGGAATTTGCATCTCCCAGTGGTGACTCGGAGCTGAAATCCGAGATGTGAGGTTCCCAGATGACATACTGAAGTTGTTTCATAGTGCTCCACAATTATTAAAGGGTTTAAGTTGTGGATGTTGATTAGGGGCCTTAATGAATTTAGTACAGTCAGGTTTTAAATGTTAAGCTCCAGTTGGCCCTGAGGTCTCAGCATGATGTGACAGATTCTCTCAGTTTTCAACTAAAACCAGCATCAGTCACAACTGGGAGAGTAATGCTGATATCCACCCAGGTGCTGGCACTTACTCTACTGGGGTTGCCACCAAAGGTCTCTCTAGGTGATTAATGGCTTACAACTGAAGGTGGGAGATTTACATTAGACATAAGGAGGAAATTCTTCACTATGAGGGTGGTAAGACACTGCAACAGGTTGTCCAGGGAAGTTGTGGAAGCCCCATCTTTGCAAGTGTTCAAGGCCAGGTTAGATGAGGCTTTGAGCAAACTGATCTAGCAGGACATGACCCTGCTCAGGGTCCGACCCCAGCGGGGTTGGAACTAGATGATCTTTAAGGTCCCTTCCAACCCAAACCATTCTATGAATCTCTTATGTTGTGATCTGATACTAGAACTTGTGAGAACTGTGAAACCTTTCCGCCTTTACCAGGGGAAATTATAAAGACAGATCTTTTAGATTCAAAGGCAAATCTTGGACAGAAGGACAGCTCCTAGTAAATAAGTTCCCTGCTTAAGGTAAACTTCACTCTCCAGTGTTACATGCATTGGTTTTTTTTAACTGCAGATGCTTTACTAGAGGTGCTGAACTGTTTCTTCAGAACAGCTTTCGAAGGCTGTACATTTGGTATCAGATAATTCTGCCAGTGCAGATTAATGAGAACATGAAGTCTTAAAAATAATTTTAACTATTTCTTTCCTCATCAGCCTCACAAAGTTCAACACTGAGAGGTGCAAAGTCCTGCACCTGGGAATCATAGAATCATAGAATCTTAGGGGCTGGAAGGGACCTCGAGAGATCATCTAGTCCAACCCCCCTGCCAGAGCAGGGTCACCTAGAGTACATCACACAGGAACTCATCCAGGTGGGTTTTGAATGTCTCCAGTGAAGGAGACTCCACAACCTCCCTGGGCAGTCTGTTCCAGTGCTCTGTCACTCTTACAGTAAAAAAATTTTTTCGGATATTCACCTTGAACTTCCTATGCTCCAATTTACACCCATTCCCCCTTGTCCTATCACTGGTCATCACCGAGAAAAGCCTAACTCCGTCCCCCTGACACTCACCCCTTACATATTTGTAAACATTAATGAGGTCACCCCTCAGTCTCCTTTTCTCCAAGCTAAAGAGACCCAGCTCCCTCAGCCTTTCCTCATAAGGGAGATGTTCCACTCCCTTCATCATCTTAGTAGCTCTGCGCTGGACTCTTTCAAGCAGGGAAGGACTAACCCCATGCACCAGGGCACACTGGGGGCTGACAGGCTGGAAAACAATTTGGCAAATAAGTACCTGGGGGTCCTGATAGAGGCACCAAGTTGAATGTTAGCCAGCAATGCCATCTTGAAGCAAGGAAGACCACCAGTGTCCTGGGCTGCATGAGGAAGAGCATAGCTAGCAGGCCAAGGAGATGTTTATTGCCCTCTGTTCAGCACTGGTGAGACCAAATCTGGATAAGTGTCCAATGCTGGGCTCTCCAGTATGAGGGAGATGTGGATGTACTGGAGCAAGTCCCACAAAGGGCTACAAAGATGATTAAGGGACTGCAGCATATGTGGAATGAGGACAGACAGAGAGAGGTGGGATTGCTTAGCCTCAAGAGGAAAAGGCTCAGGGGGACCTTACCAATGTGTGCAACTAAGTGGTGGTGTCCTGGTTTTGGGCCCAAAATGACAACAAAGGATAGTCCCCATCACTCAGCTCCAT